GCTGCCTTCGGCTCAGGTCATGATCTCAGGGTCCTGGGATCGAGCCCCCCATCGGGCTCTCTGCTCAGCAGGGAGTCTGCTTCCCTCTCTCTCTCTGCCTGCTTCTCTGTCTACTTGCTCTCTCTCTCTCTCAAATAAATAAATAAAATCTTCTAAAGGAAAAAAAAGATGTATTCTCAGGGCATCTGACTGGCTCCGTTGGAACAGCACGGGACTCTCTATCTTGGGGTCTTGAGTTTGAGTCCCACGTTGGGTGTAGAGATATTTAAAAAGATCTCTTCTCGGGGCGCCTGGGTGGCTCAGTGGGTTAAGCCGCTGCCTTCGGCTCAGGTCATGATCTCAGGGTCCTGGGATCGAGCCCCGCATCGGGCTCTCTGCTCAGCAGGGAGCCTGCTTCCTCCTCTCTCTACCTGCCTCTCTGCCTGCTTGTGATCTCTCTCTGTCAAAAAAAAAAAAAAAAAAAAAAAAAGAAAAATAGGACAAAACTGGAGGGTTTTAAAGAGAGGAGTGAGAAGATCTGAATTACATTTCTCAAAAGCTTGCCCTGACGGCAGTGTGGAGAACGCTTTGATGGGGTCAGAGGGGAAGTAGCAAGTCCAGGGAGGAGGCAAGACGTGATGGCAGCTTGGGTTAGGATAGTAGAACCAACAGGACTTGCTGACGGATTGGAACAAATGAGCAGAGAAGAGTGAAATCCACATTTATCTACTGGGGTTTTGGTGTGAGCTACCAGATGACTGGTGAACCAGTCATGTGGTTTATGGAGACGAGGAAAGTGAAGAAGAACTATTGCCTGCCACCCCGGATGTGCTGTTTGAGATGCATTTCAGACATCCAAGCGGGGACATCAAGTGGGCAGTGAGTGGTGGCACAGGAGGTCAGAAGTCAAGATGCCTGGGTTTGAATCCAGACTCTTCCACAAACCGTATGACCTTGCACAAATTATCTAACCTCTCTTTGTCTCAGTTTTTGTCTGTCAAACGAACATAATAAAGTAACTACCGAAGAAGCAGAATTTTGTGACAAACGATAATATACACAGTAAGCACTCAATAAATGTTAACTATTAATATATTTGAGTCTGTGGCGCCTGGCTGGCTCAGTTGGTAGAACATGCGATTCTTGGTCTCCAGGTTGTAAGTTCAAGCCCCAACTGGGTGTAGAGATTCCTTAAAAATAAAATCTTGGGGCACCTGGCTGGCTCAGTTGGTAGAATATGCGACTCGCAATCACAGGGTCATGAGTTCAAGCCCCACATTGGGTGTGGAGCCTATTTAAAATACAATAAAATGAAAAGAATCTTTACTATATAAATATATTTAAAGATTCATATTAATAAATAATATAAAGAAAAATGTATCAATATTTAAAATACATATAAATATAAAACTTTATATTTAATATATATT